GTTGAATAAATTCTTGTCTATAATCTTGTGATCAAATGGTCTAACCCTTCGGTCGGCGAAGAGATGAAAGTCTTTCACTAAAATTGATTTTATTATTTCTGGTTCCGCGACCGTAAGGATTGGTTTATTGCCGTTGAATACACTAAACATTAATTTTAATGTCATTTAATATGCAAAAGTGTTTTCATGATTGATTGTTATTTACCCGTAGAGTCGGCCGTATTTCTCAAAATACTCCAATTCAACAGAAGGCAAAGGTTTGAAAAGTGTGGACAAACTGTTGCCCACTAATGGGTAGGGTTTGGGTCCATTCAAACCCCTTTTGGTCCAGTAATTGTAGTGTCGATTCAAATACCTTTAAACATAGTTATTGATCCGTTTTGAAAACGTGAATATTCATTGATTAATTAAACTCTTACATATAGATAAATGGTATGGCCGATAAAATGGCCAGGGTGATCCATGAACTCCATGTCGTATCACTTAGCACATCCATTTTAATTAATTAGAAACTTTCAATTCAATCTTTAAAATAATGATTGTTTTTCTCAATAAATCAGTTTATATAGTCGTGAATAAATGGGAGATATCGTCACTTCAGCCCCAAATCACATTTAAAGTATACATTTCTTAAAGTATTTGAAATACAAATAATAAATTGCACTGTACTGTATAGTGATTAAGTTTATACATGTGAATACATAGTGTTAAATAATTATTGTACTAACCCTGATTATTTTTTATCTTAAGGATTAGTTAACCAAACTATTTTAATATCTCATTTCATTTAGTATTGAACCGTTAAAACTACTAATGTATAAATAACTATAGTGTTTTATTATAATCAGCAAGGTACAGTTGTTACATGTTATGATAGAAATTGCAAATATAAGTTATTAAATTTTGTTTGAGTTGAATCATTCATTAAATAAGATATTACTTTTAGTGCAACCGAGTCTAACACCAAATAACAAATAGACCTTGAATTTAATCTATAATTTTATAATAACAAAATCGTAATTACAGTAATTAGTTATTACAATAAAACCTGTATTACTCGAACCGATCATCAACAAAAAAATTTTCTCATACACTCTACAATAAGAGGGAATTTTAGTAAATAATTAGTTGAATTCATTTAATGTTATTATTAGAGAAGTTTAACCAAATGTAATCAAGACTTTAACATAATTGACAAGTTCACGAATACATCCTTGAGTCAAGGACCTTGACCATAATGTCTTTCTTCCCAATTTAAAAATCGTGTTATTTGTTGGTATTAATTGGTAATAAAGCAGATAATCAGCAAAAATGTTAATCTTGATAGAAATACATCCCTTTAAACATACAGTACAGTAAATATATAAATATATTAGTGTCAGATTGTAAATTAAATAACAAAAAATTAATTTAAGATTATTAATAATTAAATTAAAAATTTATTGACAATATTTAATAAGTTATGTTTACATCAAAACAATTTTTAAATAGCGTTTTAAATATAATGAATTATCTCTTTTCAATTCCGACCACAACTTCTTTGGCGGCCAATAGACGACTGATTGGTCTGAATTGGAGGGGAACTGCTGTTTGTGATGATCGGAAGAAGCGATACCGGCGTACGATCTGAGCCAACCCTAACTTAGCCTCCATTAACGCAAACCGCATACCAATGCAATTACGAGGACCGGCGCCGAAGGGAAGGTATGTATAGGGAATGATTTTGTGTCTGTTTTCAGGCATAAATCGATCAGGGTCAAATTTGTGGGCATTTGGGTAGAAGTCTTCCGAATGATGGATAGCATAGACCGGAATCTCAATGTCTTGTCCCGCGTATAACTGGATCCCAGTGTCGCCCAACTTATAGTCTGCCTGTGCTTTCCTCTCGAGTCTAATAACTGGTGGATACAGGCGTAGGGTTTCGGAGAGGATTGCGTCCAGAAGTGGGAGTTTTGCCAACACTTCATAACTAATCTCTCCGTTGGAGTCAACGGCGGACTCGACCTCTTCGTAGAGTCTTTGCTGAATGTGTGGATTGAGTGCCAATTCATACGAACAAAACGTCAAAGTGGTTGCCGTTGTCTCATAACCTGCGATGAAGAATATCCATCCCTGAGCTTTCATCTCGTCTTCACTCAACTGTTTGTTCCCTATATTTACCGATAATGTCTTTCTCTCCACAGCTCTCTCTTCTTCTCCTAAAATGTGTTAAAATTAAAAACATTTTTATATCGAAATGTTAAACAAAAACTGTAATAAAGCAAACCTTCATTCACGTGATGTGATTCGTCGATATCATTGTCGTTGTCGTGAATCTCTTCCTTATTGTTATTCGCGTCCACAAGAAGTTGTATGAAATCGTTGTAAACCTTATTAGAGGTTTGTTTGGACTTTCTTTCATCCAATCGTTGTTTTG